ATTTTTATTGTTTTTATTGGTGTTGTGCTGTGTCAGTGTTTTTATCGAGTGTTTTCTTTCTTCAAGTGGTTTATTATCGACGTACTCTTAACCATAACCAAACTTGTCTTCAATGATATACTGTTGCGAGGCTACTTCGCCTTACTTGAAATTATCTTTAATGCGCATGCTCAGTAACATTGATACAATTTTAATTTATTAATTACTATAAAAGTCAATATTGTTCTATAAATTTAAAAATATAAATTCAATAATTCTATTAGTTTGTCACTTGAGGTTTTAAACTTCTTAAATATTTCTAATATTGCGAGATTATCGCAGTATTTGAGGTCATGACAAAGAAGCCATTTTTTTGGCACTGATGTCCAAAGTACACGAGGTCGAAAATCGATCTAGTAAAAATATTGGGAAATTCTTCATAACCTGTTATTTGGCGTATGTGACGTCACTACTAAAAAGGTCTATTAGTTGTATTGTGGTCTATTTCTCAATATTCTTTACGTAACTTTTCGGTTTAAGGGAGAACGATTAAAAAATTGTGCTCCGATCTGTCCCACACTTGGCACACAAATAGTGGATTAACCATGGACATGACATACATTACTTTCTCCATCTCAGGCGGGGAATTTCACTTAAGGGCATTTGCTTTCTTCAACTGCCCACCTGCGTTCATTTAATTTGGCCGATTTCAGACACCTGTATATTTTAAGCAATTTGTTTAAAACATAAATGAACTCATATGCATTTCAAAATTCCTTCTAACCTAGACATATTTTCCTAATTCGTTTTAATTGTTTAGATATTTTGATAGGTATTTCGATGATACTTAAGTTGTAAACACTCATCAAAAATACCCGGCACTGTTTTGAAACCACCGCAAATTTTCACAACGCTTGATAAATTAGAAACTATACTTCCTCCTTTTCTTATCAGTTGTCTCTCCACGCCCATGTCGTTGCTTTAAAAATATTTACACAGAAAGCTTTGTGCACAAATTTCACTTCAAGTCGCCCCGACCAATTTTCTTTACAAATAACACGTACGTATAGGGTGATCGATTTAACCGAAGAAATGAGTTTTTCTGTGAAACGGCCGAGAAAAATAAATTATTTTAGAAACTATTTAATTTTTGCTTACTTTTACTAGAAGTTAAGGCAGAAATACAGAAATTATCTTTACGGCGGTAGACGTTGCAGAGCTTCAAGCGCTTTTTTCCAGCAACATACATTTTTTAATATGTCACGATAAAGATTCCTTAATTTTGATTATTTTCCCTATATAACAATTTTTTTATCTTCCCACTTTTTAAAAAGTTACGGGCAATTCTCTACTGAATTTCTCTATCTCATAATTATTATTGTAACGACGTAGTCAGCGATATAGATCTTTTTCAGTGCTCTTGCTGGTTCAATATATCAATAACTATGATGGTTCTATTTGCAATAAAAAACGTATTCACTATAAACAATTTAATAACACAACTGTGTATACAACAATTACATTAATTTGTAAGAATTACAAATCCACCTGTCATATAAGGGAGACCACAACAACATAAAGAAAAACAATGTTTGAAGCGCCGCGACTCCTAGCGTCGTAAAGATAATTTCACTCTACCTTCAAGTAAAAGTAATCAGAAATGCAATAGTTTCTAAAATAATTTATTTTTATTTTCCTCAGCCTTTCAAAGAAAAACTCATTTCTCCAGTTAAATCGATCACCCTGTCTATTGGAAATGAATATTTCGTTAACTCACAGTAACGGGAGCATTGAGCCTCTTGAACTGCCTGATCTGATTCATTTTAATTAAAAGGCAATCAATTAAAAATAATACGTATGTATGGTGCTCCTTCATAAACGATTATGACCCTTTCCCATCTCTGCTTTCCTTGTAATATATGTGTTCCGTAAAATACATAAGAAGCAACATACAATCGTCGAAAAATAAATTGCTGTTTGCTGCGAAGGCAGCTCCCTAGACAATTATTCCAACATGTTTGTGAAACAACTCGGTATAATTTATATACAATGCAATGCAGTAATAGCTGCAGATACTGCTCGCGGTTAAGCACTTGAGCACAGCGCCATCTGTCGGCTGGTAGAGTAATTAAATGATTAAGCTTTAGTGCCACAATATTAGTTTGTTAAAGATTTCTATTACGTACATCCAATGTGAAAGGAAGCAAATGTAGGAACCTGTACAAAACCTACTTTGCACTACCGTTAGAGTAAAAAAACGGAATGTTTCTTATAACTTCTTATTGAAACAGAACTCATCTTTCACTTCCTAAACTTTGAATTAGTCGATCATTGGTGATATATTTCTACAAGCTTTAGCGAGTAGTTGAATTATTTCCTGATAGATGGCAGATTCGTCCATTTGAAATACATAATCCATAAAAGAAATATTTACGTACATCTTAAATTTTGAAAGTTATACTGTATTGTATAACTTTGTACTTTAGCACATTTTATATTATTTGCTTAAAATAATATTCAACACATAAAAAACATTAAATAATTTTATTCATATAAAATGTGTAAATTCATTTTACCGCAATTTCTTTTCAGACTGAAGTCATTCACACTCATTCAATCAGTTATTTGCTTTTTTATGTATATACAGATATGCAAACCATTGCGATTGCAAACAAAATAAAATCGTGTTTGAACAGATCACACTGTTAGGTTTTATCCTAAATGTCGAGATATAAATCTGTCTATGTATTTGCCTTTTCGTTCGTTTGCCTCTTAGCACGACCAGGTAACCTCTTGAAAAAGAAACAGATCGCACAGGGACGTACTTGATTTTTTTATTGTTAATTTTATTTGAAATATACAGGGTGTCCCGTTCATGTTTCAAAGAACTTGTGTGCAAGTTCCTCATGGAAAAATAATAGGGGTAGTTCATGTAAAGTTTTTTTCTTAGACAAACTGTTTTCGAGATACAGTGTGTTGAAGTTGTTACTTTACAAATGGTTTTCCTAAATTATTTTTAAATCAGCTAAAGATAAAAGTGTCAAAATTTGTACACGAGTAAACATCAACTGTGCGTTAAGAATGATGTGCAAACGGTTTCTTTCTGAAAAGCAGTGTCGCCGATACAGGTGGAGGGGTTCAATCGAAAAAAAGATATGTTAAAAGTCAAAATTTATTACATTTCTATACTGTTCTGTAAACTCTAAAGCATACCACAATAAAATTCGGTAGCATGAAGTTGCATAGAATGAAATAGGGGACAATTTCAGTATCTACTGTAGTATTTCGTGTTTGCACATTTATATAATTGTGCAATTTTGTTGTTCCGTATGTCTCCGAGTCTGTTTCCTAATATTTTTCTGTTTTTATCACTTTTTTAAGCATTCATGTCCATCAACAATTCAGTCCATTCAACAATTGTTTATTTTAGTAATGGTGGTGTAGTAGTTTACAAAATCTAAAATTAGTTAATAATAGATAATTAATTACCATAATCTGTTTATTTTGATTTACTTTTTTATATGTTAGTTTACAACAAACTGAAACTTAAAATAAATTTTATTTTTTTGTTTAGTTAATAAAATGTTTTACAATTTAATTGTTTCATGTAATACGTAAGAATCGATCAATATTGAATTTAAAAATCACGCACGTCTTAAGTTCTTGACTGAAGTTCGTTTCGTTCATGCGTTCAATTCGTTTCTCGACTTGCTCATGATTTATTTATTTTAAGTTTTTAAGGCTTTAGTTTACTTTGATGAATCTTATTTTTTTAATGCACCTATTTATAAGTCTGTGTAGAAATTTTATTAGGTATAAGCCTAATGTTTATGTTGAGTCTGAAAATATTTAGTTCATGTTCCTTTAGTTGATTATTTTATTTTTGTTTTGTTAATTAAAGGATTGTGATTATAAGAGATAAATTAATAGGAAGAACGCTTCTGTATCTTTAAATTAAAGCTTGTTTTTTTAAGATTTCTTCAGTTAAATTCCTTATTTACTATTTGTTTAATTAAAAGACATGATTAATGATTATTAATAATTATTGGAAGAAAGCTACGATTCAAAAACATTGAAATAAACATAAGTATATTGAAAGTATTTAATAAAAAAACAAGTTAAAGGTTTTTAAGAAGAAGATACTCAAAGTTTAATTTAGTTTTGTTAGTAGAAGTAGAAACATAAGTAATTAATAAAAATACTAAATAAATAATAAATGTTAATGATGATTGTTAAGTTTAAGCATGTTTATATTTCGCATTGCAATACCAAAATTATGACTTTTTAAGTTTTAGAAATTTCTCGAGAATTCGAGAATTCCCGGGAATTCCTAGTCGAGAATTCTCGAGACCCGAGAAAAAAAGTAGGCCGAGAAATCAGAAACCCTAGTTATGATGTTAAAATGATTTTGGACAACCGTGATATGCACATATTTTCGAATTTTTAGAATTGCGTTTTGGTATAGCCTCTTATAAAAATATTTTGCTCCTTGCTTCCAAAAAGTGACCTTTGCTGCATTAAAAATAGGATCTCCGTTGAATAAATTTGATACCGATGTTTTGCAAAAAAGTACCACATGCTCATTAATTTTATCTTATTGACATACACAGGTAGTAATCACATGATTGTCGTTACGCTTGACGATGTTTTGACGTATGAAAATGATATCTCACATTTTTTTTATTACAACCGACCTACCTACATGATGAACTTCACGTACGTACTGACATGTACTTTTATACCCTAATTTGTCGATTAAGGACCGGATACACAAAGAGTATTAGATTTAAAATATATTTCAATCGAGCAGATAAGATTTTAATAGGAATATATAGCATGTTTTTCATAACAGAATTTTTATTATGGGTAACTAGCTTTGATTTCGTGAATTTTTCAGATATTTTAATGGGTACAATAATTTCGTTGGATATCTAATTAAGATGCCTTATCAACGGTATCAATCCAAGACGACTTGTGTTAGCATCCATTTTTTTTAGTGGTTAAGGAAATGAAAGAGCAACTTATAAAAAATTAAATATATTTCCAGCGAATTTGTCTTTTACTTTTGTAGAAAAGGAACATTGTGTATTTAGTACAAAATCACTAATAATACTGATTTAATATAAATTAAAAAAATAAATTAAACCTAATATTTCGAAACAAGAAAATAAATAAATAAATAAATAAATTACAAAGCGCACAGTTTATGCGACAAGTAATATAAATGTAACATGGTACACGCCATTGTGACAATATTTAAAATAGCGATGGACATGTGAACTTTCCTGAACTGTTTGTGAACTTGCAGGTAATGCGGACAGTTCAACAATTTCCCTGGATTTAATTTCCCTATTTCCATACCGACACCAGCTCTCTTTTCTATGGTATTTTTCTCAACCATCAAAGCCAAAAGAGGAGGGGTAAGGTAAAGGCGGATGACCAATTCAACCAAGAAGCAAATCGTCATGCCAGAGGCCTGTAACAAAAAAAGGTTTAAAAATTCGTTTCGTCCCAAAACATCTGTTTTCATGATATCCCGTTTACAAACACGGACATCGACACAACTGTTCTTGAAATTTTTTAATGAATCACGATTGTCAGTAAACGAAAGGTTAATGAAAGATGTAGATATTTATTTATAGACATCCTGAAAAGAGATTGATTTTAACTGCATTCTAAATTGTTTCTACGTGTCGCACGAAAAGTTAACGTATATTTTATAAAAAAGTCCACGCACGTGTGTCGCAATAAATTGATTTAAGCATTTACCTGAATAGCAATCTCCGCAGTTCTCAAATTGCTGTTGTTTGTCCGTAAGAATATAGCGAGGGTGATCAAGCTCAGAGTGGCGTTGATCAAGAAGTACTTTGGAAAGAGGACCCTCTGGACGTTCCCGAAGATGTGTCTGGGTAACGTGAAATATAACGCTAGTCCCGATACGAACGTCATCCAGATTTGAGCTCCGAAGTGAGCACTAAACGACCCTAGATACACTAAAGTCCATATCGGTGAAATTTGACTATAACTTTTGCTTGGTAACATTAAATATGCCACGCATAGAACTGAGAAGGCTGTGATTAGATGTGCTGGTTGTGTGGTGTGGAATAGGATCCTGAAAGAAGAAAAGAAGATTTTACTCATCTTTCGAATTTTTTGGTACATTTACAGCTACCAAAAGTGAAAGCATCTCTTAGGCAATGATTTATAAAATTATATTTTATACAACTTGTCGGTGCAATTTTTTTTTTAGATAAAGCGAAATATTAACGTCAATTTAAACTAAACTTTATTTATTATGCATACGTATGTGTAACAAAAAGTAGTTTATGGTGCGTTACGAACCGATTGCACTAAATATGTTACTACTAAATATACTGTGACGGTGAAATGAGCAACCTTCACTTTTATGGCACATTCAATTGTTGTTTATAAAGTGCAATTGTTCGGATGCATATAAAATTGCATTATAAGCAATTATATCTTATACAGTCCGATAAAAAAAGGAAACGTCTCCACAGTGATTGATTTCAAAGTAATTAATCCCATAATTTTTAAATACCACTCCGGATTAAAACTGAACGAAACAGGTACTTGAAATCAGCACACCGAACGGTAAATTCGCTTACTTGAAAAATGTGGATTTTAAGAAAGCCTTGTGCAGTTCCCCGACGATATCAAAACAAACTTTGGTATAGTAAGTGGCCACAGCTAGAAGATCTTCCTTGTACTGCAATTTATCACCATTTTCATTAACGATCTTCGGTTGTTTCTTGTGGACACTGTGATTGGACACTTTGCCGGTAACGTCGCAAACGGTAGCACTAGGACTCCTGCCTACACACATTTCGATTAGAATATTATATCACTAAAAGCTTCAGTCGGCCCTTAAGGGAGTAGCTTATGTCACGTAGCGACGAATTCGACTCTCAACGATCGACCGATCTACTTCGAATGTCTATGCTAAGCTTTAGGGTAGGTCTTTATAGAATAAAACCGGACCCCACTACTCGGATCGCACGTGCTCGCAGACGTAAGGCAATCCTCACTTCAAATGATTTCTAACTGATACGAAATTTGATTGACTGATGTTACTGATAACAAGCGAAGCCAGTAATATCATAAGGTAATGAATTTACATAATTGAATCTCACGTAAACACAAAAAAACTGTCATTTGAGGACGCAGCAACGGAAGCTGAACGTTTGTGTGGGGGAAGGGGTGGCATATTACAAATACGCAGCCTTCAGTAACTACGAGGAGAAGTGCCTGAATGATGTTAATTTACAGAGCGTGTTATTTGAGCCTTTATCTTTGGGGAAACTTATTTTTTGCACTTTGTGGATTAAAAGTGCCATTTTAAACCCTAGTAAAGTGTCACTTTTAATCCCTCGGGAATAAATAGAATTTGAAGAACAAAATGTTTGCAATTATGTCGTAATCAAGTTGTTGCAGTGCCATGGGCGTAGCTAGGGGGGAAGGGGGAGCAGGGGCGCGCACGTCCGACCCCAGAAGGCCCGGTGCTCACCCCAGAAAAAAAAAGAAGAAGAGAAATAATATTATCTTTCTCATTTTGGTAAGTCGCTGACTGCGTGAGAGGCCTCCATAGAGCTTGCAGCCTTGGGCCCACCCCAAGTATAAATGCTAGCTACGCCTATGTGCAATGCCTTATTTCAGGAATTTAATTTAAATAAAAGATTTGACGTTTTTGACAAAAATGTCGAACCAATAATAAAAAAAAATTAATTTTAAACGAAGTGAATTAAAGTGCACTTGGGATTAAAAGATGCACTTTAGCCTCTCTGTACATAATAACTGACTTAATGTTAGTGGTTTCATGTTACAGGGTGCCAAAATAGCCTTGGGAGTAAAGTCTCTTATAGCTCTTAGATGAACTTTGCACATTATCCCTTTTGATATATGATTTTGCACTCGGCGCGTATATTAAGTGCTGTTTTAATCGCTAGGTTCAGAGTTAAAGTGCCTCATTTAAATCCCGAGGAATTAAATTTAATTTTAATCCGTCTGTCAAATTGGCAGTAGCTATTATAATGTTTTATTTATTTTAAATTAATTAATTTTTGTAATTTTAGACCAGTCTTGAAGCGTCTTTTAATCCCTCAAGTGATCGTTTAACAATCCTCACCTCGGTATTAAATATGCACTTCGAATTTCATACACTATGCGTTTTCTCTTTCATTCGAAACTTGCACAACTTGATGCAATGTTTTCGAAGAGACGAACTCTGTTTACGCTTAAATTGATTAGTTCCCTAGACATTTCGCAATTGCTTCGATCTTGATCTTTTACCTCTAAGACCGGAGTCCCGTCTTAGTCATACCACTTAAGTGTTTCCCCAATATTTCCGGACTTGTCCAATCTGTTCGGCGACAAGAGCGTATTGATTCTGTGACTTCTTCAAAAAGACCGGAATAGCTGAACATTACTCACTAAATATTTGTAAAGAATACGGGAATAGAAGCCATACGATTGTAGTTTAGTAAAATAAATAAGAATATTTTTAAGACTGTCCAATTGGGTTAACGAATCTATATTTAATTTTAAACCAACTGCATCTTTGAAGTATAGGTAAATATTCCAGTTGGTAAGTGATTTGTTGCAGTTTGCGTGGATTGAAGAGTCCTACATTTTAAGACGCCGTCATGTTGATCGAACCAATTTGGACCCAACATCAAAACAATCAGTTATAATATTCTGGAAGGTTCCGGAGAATTAATCATGAAACAATTAAATGAATTAAATAGATAACATTAAGAGAATAGATTGAATATTCAGTTTTAATCGAATCCTCAGTTGTAATTAGAATATGCTCATAAATAAATCCACGTAACCACAGTCGTGTAATAAAATAAGTAAAATAATACCAGGCTGTATTATAATTCATGGGAAAACTAAACAGAAATGTATTAATATTCCCGTATTTTACATTTACCGATGTTTGTTTTTTAGAATAACATACAAGTAGCTGGGGATTTTAAAACTTAACTAACCGTATTTGTATAAGCATTTATTTTTTCTGTGTAATAGTTTTAAAATTATATTATTACATATTCATAGGATGTCACACTGTGATATATTTTCTTCAAAAGTCAATGTACCGCGATCACGGAAAATGTATTATAAAGAAAAGAGTGCTGAGATAAATATAAGCTTTTTATACATAGAAACAGCTTATAAATAGATTATTTCATTGCATTCATTTTATCTATCCTTGATACAATTGCTCCACCTAAACAGTCATCAACATCGCCCGAAGAAAAACATTTCAAGGACTGTTTGTTATTAGCATAATTATATTAATTTGTTCAGCGCTAATATCAGCAACGCTTTAATTTCACCTTCTTTCAATCCTTTTTAAATTAGTAGACCTGAAGATGATACAGAGTTGTACGTATAGTTTTCTTTCCTTTTTTACTATTGCATAGCATTTGAAATATCTATTTGTGACATTATCTAACGGATTTACCTTGTTTGGTAACAATATTTTTATCACTATAAAAAATCTGAAGATGGAGTATTTTCCCAGGTAAAAATAACCGTTTATAAATTCAAGTGTGTCACAATTTAATAAAAAAATCTGTTTTCTCCGATTAAATAAATAAGTGTAGAATAAACCAGATATGTATATTTTGTAAATAAACAAACTCTACGTTACATTCACATCTTGGAATCATAGACTCTGTTTTTCTGGACGGATCCGTGACAAAATACGCGTAGATCAATAAAAATGTATAAGCGTACGCATTTAAATAATCTCAGATGCTTTATCTAATATATTCAGGAATACATTTACACGTACATGGTGTCTCAAACTCGATAGTATGGGCCTACTGTGAGGATACAAAAAATTTAAATAAAATTTGGGGCACGTGGTTTTAAATGGGATGAGGTAAGCTCCATTTTCAATCGAAAGTATTATCTTTCGGATTTGACAGAAACGACTAATGACGTCATCAATTATACTTTTTTCTTATTAAAAAGCTATCTTTTTATAAACTTTTATAAGAGAATTTTTTCTGTATAACTATATTAAAGAATTATCTAGTTTATTTATTCTTAATGACATTTATGCACTTTAAACAACGGACATTCGATTATTTTCCAACGACTACTTGATCCTTCCACCGCTAATGTGCTTTTAGGTGGTATTTATTTTGAGACTCTTTAGGACGATATTGCTTATAACTTTCAAACGAGAAGAAATACTAAAAAATTTCTCTAATAAAAGTTTATTAGAATAAAGAGAGCTTTTTAACAGGAAAAAAAAATTGGGTATGTTTCTGGAAAAATATAATTGATGCCGTCATTAGTTGTTCCTGTCAAATCTCAAAGATAATACTTTCAATTGAAAATGGAGCTTACCTCATCCCATTTAACACCACGTGTCCCAAATTTTATTTAAATCGTAGCTTCGCAGTAGGCCCATATTATCGAGTTTGAGACACCTTGTACATTTCGCTATTGGTATGGTAATTTTATTAGATCTTTAGATACTCATCATAGGCTCAGTATTCCACTTTCTATTTTTAAAGAGGAATGGAACACAAATAATTATTAAAACAATTCGTACGTTATTCAACAGCAATCCAGTGGACAACCACGGAATAAAAAAGTTTGGCACCACTTTTTTTAAAACGATGATAAAAATCATGTGTCAAGACATTACCGCAATGTTGCAGAAACCACAGCTAGACAAAAATAAAAAGTGAATTGACAAAAATTTTAAACACTGACTGAATTAAAAAATTAACTAACAAAAAATTTAAACGGGATACACATTATACGAAATAAAATATATCCTGTTTTTGGACACCCTGTACGTATATTCAAAACATTTTCATATAGCGCCGGTTAATATGCTATGCGCCTACTATTTAATTGGCACAATTATTTTCCATGATGAAATATCGTTAAATTAAACCAAGCACTAAAGAAAGTCAAGTCATCAGTTTTAGACCTCTTACGTAACTGCATTGAAATAAACCACATTTAATAGTGGAACTCTATATAATTATAACACATTTATTTTCCTTTTTTTACAATCAATTTATAAAATACGTGTTTTTTTTTCTTGGTAAATAATTACAGAATAGGCCAAAGTGTACAAAAGCGGTTGCGGTTTGGCAAAATAAGTGCAACGGTAATACTGAGTCCAACTATTCACCTGTTTGAGAAATAAACGTACATTTTTATCGCCTAAAATAAAATCAGATATTTATGTGAAAATGCACGAAATATATTTTTGGAGAACAAGAGGCGTGTGAAATATTATTTGAGTCATAAATTGTATTGTTGCCAAAAATCGATACAGATAGGCGTATAATTGTCCATAAACGCAAAATTCTGAATATATACAGTGACCCATTTGAAAGAGGGCCACCTTCATAACATTTTTATTTATGGAGCGATTTTGACAAAATATTTTTTTGAAATGTAGAGGGGAAAAGGTGTGTTTTGGGGCCTAACGGTGTCCAGTTTTTTTTTTCAAACTAAGGCCTACTAGGTCACATTCGGAGGCTGAAAAATCCAGAATCCATATTAGCAATTTTTTTAGAAAAAATCTGCGTATGCCACTGGATTCGGCGTCCCCTGAAATGGATCTATACCAAATTTCATGAAAAAATTAACGATTCTATGGCTAAATTGCTGTCAAGTTGTTTATTATGCATCAAGAAGCTTTTTATCTAGTAACCCATGCGATAACAAATCAATCACAACAAATATTTAATAACAACATTTAATAGACATCCTTGTATCAAAATACAATGAAACAAACAGAAAAACAAACGAGAAATTAACATGAAATTTACAAAAACGCAATATAATAAAATTAACACACATGAATTAACTTTAAATTATGTATTTTTCAACTAAATCTCCATTTAATTGAATGAATATTTTTGTAAATGTTGCCTCGTCACTAAACAAAATTTAATAAATGT